AAGCAGTGGTATCAACGCAGAGTACTTTGCTTCGTGATCCTGGCGCAGTACTCTATGCAGTAATACTGATGCGCCATTTCTGGGACAGATGTAGCTGCTACCGATTTTTCGCTATCCAGCGCCAGATTTTGATGTTCTTCAACAGCGTCTATCAGTTCTTCATGAACGTCTTGAGTAAACTTTAAAACTTAAACTTAGAGTTCCAACGTTTAGATCCACCGTAACACGGCTTTATGACCCCAACGGGAGAAAGTGAAAAATGAGTACCATATTTTTGATCTGCGCACCGAACAACCTCCTAGACCAAGGCTTCACAAGATTTCAAAATTTTGTTACGATACCACCCCCCCCCCCCCCCACATGCCTGCTGAAAGTACGAGAAAAATGTACTCCGAAGGACTTTTTAGCTGCATCTCTTCTTTTGGACACTATTTCTCTTTCTCTAACCAAACTCAGGTTTATCTCTGAGTTTCACGATAGACTGCGCCCACCAAACTCAGAGTTATCACAAAGCATAACTGCGAGTTTGGTGGCGCTGTTTCTTGTGCAGAACGATTTCGACTATGTTTTCCTACTAAGGATAAATTACCGGTTACGGAGTCTCCTGCCATATGTCGCTTTCTAGATTTGGTCCATTCAACTGTTGAAGGGGTAAGAAAGGTGCGAGTCAGCTCAGATATAACTCAGAGTTAAGTCAGAGTAACTGTGAGTTCCGACCAGATTACTACCGACCCTGGTAGTTTCTGAAGTTTTGAGTACCTTTCAAAAAGCACCAAAGCTTAGGAAAATGACTTGCGACTTGACTTTTCTCAATGAGCCTAAGATCTAGTGCACACTGTTCTTAATTCGCATTCGGAAAAGGTGATAGATGTGAACGTGAACGTAAAGATGTTCCTGATATCGTCGCAGCGTTACTTCCACTCGACGTAAATTGAGGGCGTATTCAAGATAAAGCACTAGTGACCAGAAGGATAGTGTTGTGTCAAGGAGTTCGTCGTTTATTGTAGTGTGAGAAAGGGATATGGTAGAACCAGTCATTGTATAGTATTTCCAGCAGCGGTCTAGCTTATCGCATTGCCAACGAGAGGAAGATTGCTTGTTGCCACGAGTGTCGAGTCGAAAGTTGTGGGTAAAGCATTTTTACAGGTCAACAATGTGTATGCTATACGTTATCGTGGAGTTGTCGACGGCACGGGCTAGATGTAGAGAACCCGCGCAACGCGCTGAGATATACGTCATATACTGCAGAGTAGTAGTCGCATAAAAGGGCATTACAAAGACCTACAGTACTTGTAAACTATGCGCTTGGTCATGTTACCATATCACTTGCACATTAAATTTTCGAATGATATTCGAAAATCGAATGATATTCGAAGGTCGAATGATATTCGATATTCGAATGATATTCGATATTCGAACATTCGAAATTTTCAGTGTTCGAATGTTATTCGATAGTCGAATATTCGAAATTTTCGATTTTCGAATATTATTCGATAGTCGAATATTCGCAATTTTCAATTTTCGAATATTATTCGATAGTCGAATATTCGAAATTTTCAATTTTCGACTATATTCGATATTCGAATATTCGAAAAAAATTTCGAATTTCCCCAAGTATACTAAGTATACGCTATAACTATCCGCGTTAGAATTAGTTAGAAAGAAGTAGATATGTGAGAAGTAATAGATGTAGAGTTGAATACCGTAAACACTCAAAATAAATTTAATATTTCCACGCCGTAAATAGCTCACGAACAAAATTTGGTATTTTCCCGCCTTGAGAGGGTATTTGTTTACGGTAAGAGGCATTTTCTGTGCGCACTGTTCCTGCTTCGAATTCTACGAAAAAATCTAAAGTGTCTGTGCACAGTGCATGCTTTCTGCTGTTCATTTAACCTAGTGTTCGCCGCTTATGCCATTTTGTCGTTCGATGACGAAATTGCAGATTTTTATTTTGAAAAAAAGCTAACATCAGGAGTTGATTGGTGTACATCACTGAGACATTGACGGTAAATTTTAACAGGTAGGAACCAAGGAACTTCATTCATGACCACGACTCCGTTTTACTTCTCTTGAGATTTTCAGTTTTTGGAGAAAAACTCTTGGTTTTGAGATGGAGCTTCTTTGTAGAAAAGAACAGCGAAAGCTCTCTTCCGTAGTCAAAAGAGAGCTTTTTGCATCCGCGATACATAGTTTCAAAGCAGTTCGTATCGCTATACTGTTATTCGATTGGAAGGATGATATTGTTTCTTATAACTTAGTTCGTAAGAATTTGAGAAGTTCAAACGGTGCTGATGTCAGCTGAATAACAAGGTTTTCGAAATCAACCTTTTAAACATCCTTGCCCATTGAGGAAACAAAGTTCAAGGAATTGCTCCAGAGGCGCTTCGCAGATCATGAACATAGATGTCTATAACGCTTCTATGGTGGAACAACCGCGTATCCTCCACGGGTAGATAGATTAATTCCCCGCAAAATAGCGCAGACATGCAGAGACAAAAAAGGCGTTACTATGCGACGACGCTTTGCAGCTTCCAAGCTTCTTTTTTGTATTTACTCAGCCGTGATCCAGAATGTTGCGAAGCACTAAGTTATAGAATCTAAAATATTCTTTTATGTCTGGACAATATCCTTCGGATGAATTTTTTTGGTATTCGCTTTCTGTCCGCTACCTGTTGATTTGCTTGATGTACACGTCATTACCTCATTATGTCTAATTTTTTGAAGTCTATTTAGGCCTAAGGCATACCTCAGGCGATTTCAGTCGCCGCGCGATCTGGCAATTTCTCAGACCTCTTCATATTCAATACTGGCAGGCCCCAAATGCATAGCATGTATAACTTTTGGAGTTTGATAAAATGCACTATTTTCCGTACGTTCAGAAACCCCTTAAGATGAGTTATGAGCAAATGGAGCGTTGCCAAATCGCGCCGCGACAAGAATCGCGTGAGGTATGCCTTAGACCTTAGATTGTCTTGTTAAGTTCAATTCAGAAAGCATCATTTCATTTATTCTTGTAGTGAAGTAGTGAAAGTTCAACGAACGAGGCGCTTACGTCTGTCTTTGAGTAGGAACATCAAGAAAATTGCAGTGCTCACTACTTCCGAAGGATGTGATCTTGCTACTTTAAACACTGTGATGTATATTTACGATATGGCTGAATGTCCTATGACTAGGATGAATGGAGAGTAAGTGGTTCATGACAAAATTCATAACAATTTCTTCTTAGACATTCTCGCTTTTCGTTATCTTTGTTTCTTTTTGATAGTGTTGAAATAGGGCTATTGACAATCTCTCGATTGATGCACACCCTGTTGAACAAGCTCTTGTAATCAAATACCACGTTGACGATAGTAGATCCCGACGATCTTCCGAATGTCAGAAGCTGTTAGTTTTCCTCTATCTTTTCTGTTTCTTCTTTTCTCATATGCATTTCATATCTCTAGGATAAACCTCAAAGATCTCAATGAGGATGTGGATATTCGATTGCTCACCAATGTTGTGATGGAAAAATGCGCTCTTATACCGGAATCCATGCGAGAAGAAGTGGAGCAGGTTTTATACTATCTACAAAAGAGAGCTACGGATCGCTCTAGACGTTCGCGTAAGTGTTCTACTTATATAGTTTTTCTCGCTTGAGATTGCAGCCATGGTGATGGTATTTGATTTGTAACACTGGATATTATCCGTTAAGGTAGCGCATCGTCAGTCGGCTCACAGGAGTCAAACGCTGCTTCCCTTCCTATACGAGCTGAAATGGACCAAGTGGATGTAAGTTTTGATAATTTAAAGGTTTTTTGGTTTCTAATGGCTATTGCCTTTGTACTTTTTTTCATGCTTTCGTGTAGTGAAGTGGCTACAAGTTGTATCCATACGAAAAAGTGCTGCGCACAAGTCGCAGCTTCGCTCTAGAATTATCCCATGACGCTATCCTTGCCAATGGTGCGCTTTCAGAATTACATCGAACTATTTTACGAGGAGACGCCGGAGAAGAATCGTGGTGCTCTTTGCATCTTGGAACTGACTAAAACCACTGCTAATCTGGAAGTTCTCATAGAGAATGGTTCGTAATTCTATCAAAACTCTATATGATGGTTTTCAGTAAAATTGTAATTGCATTGCTTAAGAGACTCTAATTGGAGCTTTGGCGCGTGTATTCCGTGAAGACTGGAAGAAGAATTTTGATCTAGCTACCACCATAGCTCGCATTTTCGTGCAGTTCTCCTTTTACAATCAATTCCAAGCAGTTCTTTCGCATCACAAGGTTAGTCTTGCGCCCTCAGTCAATGTTTAGGGGGAGTGGTTATTTTCTAGATTGGAGCACTCTGCATGAATGCCATGGAATACGAGCTGAAGCGTGCTGACGTGTGGGCTGCAGAGGCTCAAAATTCAGACGAGAAAACTGCTCGAAAGTGCCGGTTGGCTATACGCAAGCAACAGGCTTTGCTAGCGGGTAAGATTATTACAAGTCTTTTGGCTGGTTTCCTATTTTTTTCTTTCCCTGTTTTCTCTAAGACTTACGTCAGTATATCTCTTATATTTGTTTTACTCAGCATGCATATCGCTTCTCACGAATCTGGCTCATGACATCAGTGTGGAGTTAAAAATGGTGCGACGTGATATTGTGCCAATGCTCATGAAGTGCTTGACTTTTCGTGACTCAGCGGAATTGACCTTGGCCACTGTGCAGTTTCTCCTCAAGCTCAGCATGTTCGAAGAGAACAAAACGGCTCTGGTGCGTTTTCTTCCAAAAAATCATTGTACATTCATTTGCATGCCTTAATCTAGGAACAAGGCGATATAGTAAGCAGATTGTTGCAACTCTTCCCTATTGGTGATGTAGAGTTACGAAAATCTACTATACGTCTACTGTTCAACTTGTCGTTTGATCCTAAAGCTCGTGCAAAGATGGTTGCTGAGGGTTTGGTCGCACATGTGGCTCCGCTTATTGAAAGTATGTTCATTATTTTTGATTTTTACGATTACTATCATATTCATGTTTTAGACGATGCTAAAGCATTGAATCTCCTTTACCAGCTGAGTATAAATGACGATGCGAAGGCTATGTTGACTTTCACCGATGCCATGCAACTGGTAAACTTCAGTCATCTGCAGAATTTTTCCTTACTCGGAAATTCCAGCTGATGCGTGATTTGCTTACTGGCAATGGTAGTGAAGTGACAAAAGCTGTATTGCTGAATGCTTGTGCTGAAAAGAGGAATGCGCAGCTGGTTTGCGGTCCAGACGGCCAAGGGTTTGTTTTGCATTTGCATTCCAATTTTGATGTTTTCTTTCAACTTCTTGCATACCTATTCACTCTAAAAAATTTCGTCTTTGTAAATTCCTCTACTTTGTGATGGAACTCGCAAAATTTTCCATTATTTGAGATATCGTGGTACATTTGGTACTACTGGTCAATCGTTTTCAAAATTTTGCATATTTATGTGTGCAATCATATGTGTCAAAAATAAACTTTCTCTTTTTAGGCTCAATCTTCTCTTGGATGCAGCGCTAGATGGTCGCGATTTGATGGTAGCCAAGATTGTTCGCAGCATCGCATGTCACGAGGGACCAACACAAGATATGTTTGTGGTATGCGCCTGAGATTTATTCCTACTTTCCGTGCAGAAGAAACTATTTTCTTACTCCTTGCTTCCAGAGTGTAATGCCTCGCCTTTTGGAGGCGGGCATGAAAAATTCAATCATGCCCGAGGACGAGAACGCAGCGTTGGGACTCGAATTCATTGCTACTGCAGCCGTTATTAGAGTGGCCAATTGGAGCAAGTCAGCATACATCTACTAATTGTCTACTATGACCTGCATGTACCTTATAATGTACTTTGTAGTCTCTGCACATCCCACGACCTTGTGATGGATGGGGGAACGACTAAAGACGCCCGCTGGTCAGATCGAGCCGTTGCAACTCCAGGTATGTACAATGAATATCATCTATTCTTCCTGAAGATGATCGCTTAGGTTGTTATAATGTGCGGCACAATGGCTAGACAAGTTGATGCTGCGAGAAACTTGGTTCCGCTTTTGGACGTCTTTCTTCAGCTTCTCCATTGTAGGTGTCAAGACTTGGTTCTCAACCTTTTTCTGCGTTGGCACATTTTTTTCTAGCTATGCAAGAAGACGATGAGTTTGTGGTGCAGTTGTTATACTTGTTCCTGCAGCTGTTACGGCATAGGGAATTGGCAAATCGCTTGATGGGAGCTGATTCAGCGTTGGGAGCCTACGTACTCGATCTAATGCACGATAAGAATCCAGCAATACGAGAAATGTGCGACAATGCTCTTGTGATTATAGGAGTGAGTCGTGTTGTATCACTCACGAAATTGAGGCAAAATTTACTATCAGGAGCATTCCCAAGAATGGGCTCGTCGGATCGCTGGCGAAAGATTCCGTTGGCACAATGCGCAGTGGTTGGATACTATCGAAGGCGGTATCGCTTGCGATGAAGGTGCAGTGATGGATGATGATTATGTGCCTGGCATGTTGTTCGATGACCAATTCGATGATGGCTTTGATCTCAATGTTGATGAACCACTATTTTGACTTATTATGTGCTTTCACTGATTGTTTTTGCAAGTGAATAGGTGTGCTTTGTTCATTCAGTAGCTTGGCGGAGCCCCCTTTTTCTTTTTTGGAGTGGGTTAGTGACCAGTATCGAATTAAGGACATGCGCCAAAATCATTGAACTGATATTTATCGTCCTAATCGTTGCGCAGTCTGCTTCGAATTATCCCTTTGATAGATGACACTTATTCGATTGCGTCAGCATGCGCGCAAGAGTCAAAATGTTGAGTCTTATTGTCCTACTTTCCACGTCTCTATGTAATTATTCATTTCTCGATTGTGGACTAGTCATACCTGCCTTTCAAGATGTGTTAACTGTTTGCATAATGATATCTGCACGAGTTAGAAGCTGATCTCAATGAATCGTTTTGGAACAAACATGCTTCGAATTTCCGTTTGTTGACTCAGTTCGAGGCTGTGTATTCTTGATTCAACAAAATATGCATTTTTCAAGATTACCAAGATTTAGATGGGTATATCCTGGATTTGGGCCTCGCTGAATCATGCTCAGGTAGGCTTTTCGAACAAATCACTGTCCTCGTCTAATGCGACTTTCATGCTCAGTTGCATTTTTAGGGAGAACGAGGGCTTGCAGCTTCTGCTGCTTGCCTGTGTTGTGTATTCGTGCTAGCTTACTGTGTATCTGTTAGCCATTCCATAGGTAAGATTTTTCTCTGCTAACTAAACTGTTCTCATTTAGTCACATGCTCAAAAAGATGTAATTGTTTGTTTCTAGTTTTGATGGCTGCCATGTGGATCTCTATCTTTGCCCTATGTTCGTTGTTATCGGCCCTATACTCTATGACTATCACTCACAAACCCATGGAGAAGTTTAGTTATGGTCTTGCGCGGGTTCCAGTTCTAGCAGTGTTCAGCACCACGGTAGGTTTCCTGTGTAATTCCAAATTACTAGTTCATACGTCGCACTTTTAGGTATTAGCACAACTTTTCTCCATTTTCCTTTCAAAAGAGTCATTTGAACATATGCTCTCACCGGATCATCAAGGTTCCCATGAGCCATCAAATAGCGCACATGAACATGGTCCGGAGAGCGTGGGTGAGTAGGTGAACATTACCCTTTTGAAATTTCTTGCTATCTAATCTAATGTTGCTGCCTTATATGCTCATCTTCGTATTCGTCACAAAAAGAATCTTGAAACATCGAAGGTGGTAGCGCACTTTTACGAAATGATTCTTTACAAATGCAGAATATAATTGGATTTTCATGCAGGTGGATGGCCATATTTCCTTGGCGCTGGAGCCTCTTCCATAGCTTTGCTGATATCTGCATATTCTCTGAAAAACCAGCCGTTCAATCATGTGTTAACTGCATCGAGCAGCTCAAGTTTACAGGTGGTAGTTATCCCGACAAGTTCAAATCTATTATATCAACTTTAGGAGCATGCTGCCGACATCTGCCATGCCATTTGTTGGGTCATTCCCGGTCTGTCCAGACTTCTCCTACCTAGGATTAACTCCATGGTATTACTAGCAACAGTCACCAGCTGTTTACTCATCCTTTGTGAACAATTCAGGTAGTATCATTCACTTGCTTTTTATGATATTTTATACAGTATCTCTGTAGACATGATTTCGCTTGGGCGGATCCAGTGTGCTGTCTTTTCTTGTGCGTTGCGGTTTTCTCCACAATGTGGCCGTTGTCATCCTACACAGGAATGATACTCCTACAAACGGCTCCGCCTCATTTATTGAATCAGATTGATAGGTAATTTCCTAATTTATATGGAGGTTTTTTGTAGAACTCGTTGTTTATAGGTGCATTTCTGAAGCGTCAACCATTGATGGTGTCTTGGAGATTCGAGCGCGACATTTTTGGCAGTTGGATTTTGCGCAGTTGGTGAGTAAGGCATTTCATTTTAGATTTTTCAATATTCATGTTTCCATTAATCTACGTTCTCCCTATGGCCCCGGGCAGACTTCACGTGATTTGATCGTCGCGACTGAATCGCGATGAGACAACTGTTACAACATCATTCCTTGCCGATCAACTTGCATTCGGTTGTGATACTTTTCCAGCCCGAAATTTTTGAATGTGAAATGAAAATGAATGGAAATCTTGGCGATTAGATCGCGACGATTAAGTCGCGTGAAGTCTGACCGGGGCCTATTAGCACTTTTGGTTCTCCATCTAGGTGGGCACCGTTGATGTACGAGTTCGACGTGACGCCGATGAGCAAAATGTTTTGACTTTGGTCACAGATAAAATGTCGTCTGTTGTCAGCATGCTAACTGTGCAGGTGATAATATTTGTTGTCAAATTTTTTCTATTGATTTATATCGGAGCTGAAGACGTTTAGATTGTCAAAGATGCTGCATGGAATATGGAGGGTATGAATTCTATGAACTCGATTGCCTCTGATGTAGGTTCTTTTGAAAGAAAAATCTTTACTGCATTTCTGCTCCGAAAGTCCCATGTCTGCTGATAGATAATTAACTTTCCTCCTTGCTTTCCTCAATGAGCTTTCCTATCAAGGCTTTTATGGGCGTTGCTTTTCTTATTCTAGCCAAACCCTCTAACAATAAGATAAACCTGTCTCAAAGCTTGTAAGATCACGACATCATATCCCCTCTTTAGCCCCATATTCACGCTCATGATGATGATCACGGCCATGGACATAGTCATGGTCACGGCCATAGTCACGACCACGATCATGACGATGATGGAGGTAAGAGCCCGAAATTCTGTGGCATACATGCTTCGTGGCTAGGTTCATGATTGATATTCTTTCTTTGAGGTCATGGACATTCACATTCCAACCCAACCGGACATGGACACTCACATGGATCGGCACCCCACCTGGATGCACACGCGTCCAATTATGGAGTGAATGCTACTCCGGGCTTCCCCAACTTCCAACAACCTTACGGCAATCCTTCAAATAATGCCGCAGCACATGGTCATACGCATGATGGAGTAACCTATCATTAATTTTATTTTAAGTTTTCAAGATTTTGGCATCATCCTAGTTTTTGACGACGATGTTTGCATAGCTTATTTATTTCTACTATTTATACATATCCCATATGATAGGGTATTCAACTGTGTTGAAGTTTTATCTTGTTATGTTTCTATGCGACGCAGTCATTTCGTCATGTGTTACTTTGTTGAAATGTTATTATTTGCATTTTCTGTGATGAGGGCGACGGGATAAATGGGTCATCTTCTAGAATCTATAGTATTGGCAGGATGTCCTTACAGATGTCTCTGTGTAAAACGTCAAATGGGCACCATCGATCTTTTCCCATGGTCTGAGATAATAATTTTTTGAGAGCTTCACTTGAAAATCTGTCTACAAACGTTTGCCAAAAATCCATTATGTGCTATCGTAAACTTGCAAAATGAAATTCTTTCGGAAACATACTAACCATCAGTGGGTCGGTTGTCTCAAATGTGTCCAAAATCTCGAAAAAAAGTACACTTTTTCAATGAATACATAGATCAGTTTTGAAGTTTTCACGACATTGAGCCTCCTGTAAGGCAAGAGCTGTTTATAGTTGTTTTTACTCTGTGCATTGTACTTATGACTTTCATTGTTTAAAGGCAGCGTCCAGGCAGATCTGGACCTATGGGGCTTTTACGTGGAAAGTACTTTTGGGGCCCTAACTAAGGCACTGCCCAAGCGGCAGCTCAGGAAGTGCTGTAATGGCTGAGATATTCCCCTCGAAACTGGACTCCGCGACCATGTTTCGCATGGATTCATGGCGCAAAGCGTGGTGGCGCGAAACTGCCATGAATCCATGCGATTACATTCGCGGGGGCCAGTTTCGAGGGGAATGGGTTTAGTGTTAATTTCCTCGCCCATGATTTGATCATATGAGGTGCCGCTTACATAATGACTTAGTCAGAACTCTCAACCATTTTTCACATAAGAAACCCAAGTATCTAAATCTGAACACTGCCTTCAAATCAACCAAACTCACCCAATATATAAGCAGCCGTTGCAAAAATAGGTGAGACCTTTTGTTGAATCTATATGGTTCCGAATGTCACTTTCCTTTACTTATGTTAAGTTCCAACCTTGCCAAAGAAGGCATTTATGTCTTTGTTGCGCTAAGAAAAATCAACTTGTTATCTCTTTGTACGGCATGCTCTATTGGAATTTTTTTGCGATCTACTTCTTTAAGATCCCGATAACGGGGTTTTTCTGTTAGTTTTTACATCAAAAGTGCATTGATGAAATTCATCTCAAAGTTGCTCGCTCTCTTCTTTCTTTGCAGATTCCTTTTGCAGAGTATTGTTTTTCTCATCTCCCGCTTAACTGGAAACAGCATCTAGGTCATGTATAAAGTCGTAACGACGGATTTGACTGCGGTCTGTGCGCCCACAAGAGCAGCATAAAACCCTCAATTAGAAAGGCAACATTTCAACGCTCAGCTCAGTCACTTCCAGTGTCTAATTAGTATCATACGTAAGCAGAAAAACCATTCGAGTAGAAATGAAAACCAGGAAAACACTGTTGCCGGAAGCGCGCTTGTCGTGCGCGGTCGCGCCACTGCCATCGTTACAATTTTCCGAATGCCCTTTACCCGAATCAATCTATGATCGTCTCCACGATTGGTGTAGAGGTGTATTGCAGACTTTGCCTGATAACACAGGTAAACTTGTTAAACCTCCACGTCATAGCATTGTTTTTTGTACTCTCTCGCTATCAAAAACCGCCACGCTTTGAGCTGGCAAAACCCCGCCTCTACACGAATCGTGGAGCCTATGATACAATGAAGTTCGAGTTTCCAACATTAGGAAAACACTGAATTTTGAATTCACGGCTCAATAATCCCAACTTATTGATTCGCTTTAAACAGTATGTGGCAGAGGTCGCGCCACCCGCTGCCGATGGGCGGGTCGACCCGCCGAAGTCTACCTTTGCAGGACAGTTTTAGTAGGGGTTCCATTGTTATTTCATCAAAATCTCCACAATCTTAAATTTGGGTGGACATTGTCTTCAATCTCTTGTCTAACGACTGAAATATTCACGTTAGAGAGTGGTGTTCATGGATTTCGAAGGAATCAATCTATAGAGCTAACGCTGGGAGTCTGACCAGTTTCCTGAGCCTTTTTTCTAGTGCGCTAATATTACTCGTAGATGTTATCATGCTCCAAAAAACGCGTAAGACGCGAAATCTCGTCTTAAGCATAGTCTCTTTGTAAAACAGTTCATAATCGACACTTTCGATGAAAGCTTACATAAAATGAATAAAGTTACGTTGTACCCTTTTGAGCTCGAATTTAATTTCATAGAATCCGTTTTGCAAGGCTCGGTTGACATCTTGAGTGATTTCGTTCCCAATAATCGTTTGGATCCTGTTAGAATTTCTCTCTCTCTCTCTCTCTCTCTCTCTCTCTCTCTCTCTGCACTTCTTCTTTCTCCGATTTCTTGCAATACGGGTTTTTTCCGAATATTTACCCATCGACTTTACCAGTCGTTACCCAGAGTTCCCAAGGGGATATAAAATTTTTTTCTTGATGGCTGTCTTAAAAAGGCCCTTTTGCCAAGTAAAAACTTATACATGCCTTTCGAAAATGTCTTGTGATGCTCAGATTTTTCGGAAACTTGTAATCAGAATTCTAGACTGGAATAACGGCATCCAGCCTGTGAGTTTTACAATTTAGTAATACAAATATTGATAAAAACATAACTTCTTGCATTTTTGTATCATCCCCCTCTGTCTATGTCTTCCACATTGGCTTTATACTCTGAAAAACGCAAAAAGGGGACTTAGTTGTACATTTTGAGGTAATTCGTTTATATTCAAGCATTTAAACTCGAACATAAATTTCTGTTGATGCCAAAAGAATGTTTATGGAGATTTATCATGTGTATTTGAGCGATGAGTTCCAACTCGGCTTCTGACACTTTGGAAACCAAAACCTACGGTGGTTGTGAAGGCCCAGATGCGACATACGTGAAGTTGGTCAGCAGCGATGGACATCAGTTTTTCATCAAGAAGACGCTTGCATCAATTTCTGGAACCATCAAGGCCATGTTGAGCGGACCTGGACAATATTCGGAGAATGAAAGCAATGTAGTGAACTTTCGCGAGATTCCATCACACGTGCTGCAGAGAGTCTGCCAGTACTTCTCGTACAAGGATCGCTATACTAGTTCGGTAACAGAGATTCCGGAATTCAACATCACTCCCGAGGTGGCGCTTGAGCTGCTCATGGCTGCTAATTTTCTCGACTGCTAGATGAGATGACTGAGTCGGCTGCTCACCTGATATGGGGCATACATCGAAGTTTGAACTCGCTGATGACATCTGTCTTGTCGCACTTCAAGTCATATGTCACATTTGTATCAAGTGCATTGTTCTTCGCATGATCATTTGTTCGCCCAGTGTTGCGGCTTCTACGCTTTTAGGTCCCGAAAAATATCAATTCAAAGAAAAGCAGCGTTTGTCTGCCGCCCACGCGACTCAGAGGCGTCAAAGCCGCTCGCATGATTCAACGCACCTAGACTTGATCAGATGACCGTAGAGCTTTATCTACACCACTGCCTGTTCTTTATATCGTCATGGGACCAAATTCTGCCATTTAGCTATATTCTGACGATGTCTCTAAACTCAATTTATGAGTAGTAGTTTACAATGATGTAACAAATGTGCTTTACTTTGTCTTTGCGAATAAATATCAACACATCAAAAATTATTTTTTCAGATGAATCGGATCCTCTTCAGAGCGGTTCACACTCCAGCTGCAAGAAAAGCATTGTTAGAAAAAATTATTCGAGTGGATCATGCTGGAGAAATGGGAGCTGATCGCATTTATGCTGGACAAATGGCTGTGCTTAGTGGTACGCGCAAACAGCTGGGTGTGTCTGCTTGAAATTTATGTTTGTAGATGTGCAGGTTCGCCTCTGGGATCAGTAATAAAGAAGATGTGGGATGAAGAACGTGAACATCTAGACATCATGGAACGACTTGCAGCTAGACATGGTGCTCCTCATACTGTACTCTCACCTATTTTTGCAACGGCTGCTTATATATTGGGTGAGTTTGGTTGATTTGAAGGCAGTGTTCAGATTTAGATACTTGGGTTTCTTATGTGAAAAATGGTTGAGAAGTTCTGACTAAGTCATTATGTAAGCGGCACCTCATATGATCAAATCATGGGCGAGGAAATTAACACTAAACCCTCGCTCGGACCGTACATACTCTCTGCAAGCTGGCCAGTGCGTGATTTGCTTGAAGGCACGTTCTGGGCAAGAGTATAGAGTTGAATTTTCTAGGCAGGAATGAATTGCTTGAGTTACTGCTTACAAAATGACTCACGAGGGAAGTATTTTCAATGGCCGTGGCTGTTAATACGAGATGCATACCATCTGAACCAGCTTCGAACGCTGATTTCAAAACTGCCTTCCGTTTCTGCGGAACGCTCTTCTGAAGAGAGTTATGGAAGCCTGAACATCCTATTTTGGGGGCGCCCCTTGAGTTTGAGGGCGCTGTATATGCGTTGGTGGTGCAGTAGTGTAATGATTACTTGCTGACATTGAATGCGAGAGGTTGATGTCAAATGCGGTGGAGAGCGAGCCATTTTGCCTTTTGAATGTGAGTTTAAAAGCACTCTAAATCGTCTGCAGACACTTACTGTGATGCCTTAGCACAAACAGAAGAGAACATCTTTTCGACTAATGACAGTGTGCATTTTTTGAGCTTGATATGGTGACAAACGTGCTACGCCATTTTCGGTACTGTTTTACTAGTAAGGAAGTCAAATAGAATTTCAGGCTCTCATTACAAGCAATTTTGCCAGAAAATTGTTTTTCTAGGTCACTTATGCCAAAGGCATTACAGTAAGTTCTGCAGGCGATTTAGCGTGCTTTCAAGCTCACACTCAATAAGCAAAATAGTTCGCTCTCCACCGGATTCGAACCATCACCCTCTCGCCTTCAATGTCAGCAACTAACCACTACATTACTGCACCACCAGTGCACATAGCAGCGCCCTCAAACTCAAGGGGCGCTCCTAAAATAGAATGTTCAGGCTTCCATAACTCTCTTCAGAAGAGCGTTCCGCAGAAACGGAAAGCAGATTTGAAATTAGCGTTCGAAGCTGCTTCAGGTGATATGCATCTCATATCAAAAGGCCACGGCCATTGATAATACTTCCCTTGTCAGTCAAGTCCTTCCAGTCATTATTAATTCAAGAATTCCAAATACCCAAATTCGTCTAGACATCTTTTCAATATTTTTTCAAATTTTGCGTAAATTCCTAGTTACTACAGGAATTGGCACGGCCCTCCTTGGCAAGGAGGCAGCTATGGCGTGTACTGTTGCTGTCGAGGAAGTTATTGGACGTCATTACAATAGACAAATAGAAGGTACATTCCGACTCTTAAACAGGACCTTTCGAGCAAAAAACACTGGGTTATAGAGTTAATAGCTGATGATCCTGAAGTCCATAAGGATCTTTTGAAAACGCTGAGCAAACTTCGGGACGATGAATTGCACCATTATGAAACTGGAATTGTGCACGATGGTTTGAAGGTAAGGAAAGAGTTGGTTTCTTTCTATACCTCGAGCAAAAATGTAATAGAGGCAGCCGGAAGTAAACTTGCAGCGCCAAAACCTTCTTCACAAAGTAATCCCAATTCATGAATCATCTTCTATCAAATTTATTCACAAGTATAATCAAGTCATTTTTACAGTTGTAAAATGCACGACCACCAATGCACGACCAAAAACATTGCTACCCATGTGGAGGGGGGGGGGGGGCTGACCGCCACTGATCGTAAAATATTGTCATTTTTTGCGATGAGATGGTCAATTACTTCAGAAGTACACTCATCAAGATCATAGCCCTGTTGTCTTTTTTCATTGGGAAAAAATGTAATCTGCACAAGAAGGTCTATTTTGTCTGACTTTTACAGTTTTAAGAAATAATGTTGGGATGCATCATCCCAGTCAGCCTTGATCATTTTCTATTGCAGGCACCGGCGTACGATGTTTTGAAATGGGTAATCCAGACTGGTTGCAAAGGTGCTATCTCGATTGCCGAAAAGATATAAAAGACTTGAGATTTGCTTCATTTATTTTATATCATATTTTTCTCTTTATTTTCTTACCAGCATACCTCTACTGTGATTTCTCATCAAAAGAAAACCACTATCTATTTGTTATCTCTTGAACTGATGTTTTGGAGTTCAAAATCTGTCTTACTGATGGAATTCTAAATGAGTTTGGCCCCAGTAGTTTAATTCCTCAAAATGGATGCCTTTATGTTGTTTCTGTTGTTGGTTGTTTGACCGTACATAAATTTTATGCTAAGAACCGCTCAATAAGGTGTCTAAGCTTAAGGTTAAAAGTGGGCGTGGCGAAAGGCGGAGAAAGTCAAAAAAGGGACGCGGCGGAGGGCGGAGCTAGTATTTTTGTTTTTACGCGTAGATGCTCAATACTGCTCTTTATTTCCATAACAGAGCACTATACAAACAAAGGACAACATTAAACACAAGAAGAAAATATTGGCAATGAGTGAAGCTAACAACAGCGTGGAGAGGTCAGCACGAGTCTCAACAACGGCCAGTTTCCCAGGTTTCTTCACAGTGGTGTTGGTAGAATTTGTCTCGCAAAGTATGAGTGATTTCCTGGCTAAAGTGGCTGAACGTAGGCGACGATTCGCCGCGCAGCCTGAACGAGGAAGGTTGGGATCAAGATTGTGTTTAGAGTTGCCTGTGTCAGCACCGTGCCAGCACATAGATCAATCGATATGGATCGGGTCCATGTGAGTGCTGGCACGGTACTGGCATGCGGGCAGATCTAAACCCAATCACGCACCATTAATTAGCTCTTTTGCATCCACGCTTAGATCTTTGACCTGGAAATTGCTTACCATTATTTTTCTCCAAATCGCGATAAATTTCCATCTCTTCCAACATCCACTCATATTGTTCACGACAGTATGAAAAGCCCTCACGCTCCATCCTTTCGTCATTCCATGGCGATACTAGGTGGCGGAACGACGAGGACCTACACACATTCTTATGGGAGGAGAATGTTTAGGTGCCAAAGAATGATTACAGTGCGCGAAGAACATCCTACCGTAATTGGCATGCTGTAATGTAGTGTTTTGGCAGCTTGATCATTTACCTTTGTATAAACTGTGTGCTACAATCTAGACAACGAGCTTTATTCCTCGACCCTCATCTACTCTCCCTTAAACTATTCGAAACGGGGTAGTCACTTTCGAATCTCATTGTCAGATTTCAATGTGCAGTATAAGTTTTGGTAAATCTTTGCATTCAAACGGTATCTCAGACTTCAAAAACTGATCTAACCGAGTGCTTTGTTACTATTCTTCTCTGTTCAAATTTTGTCGATTTTCCTTACCTATTTCTCAAATGCATTGCCCAATAATACGGTGTGCATGGCTCTTCAGTCCATAAAGGTAGTGAGGTAGTGGTTTGGAAAAGTTGACGTATAAGCCGAAAGTTGTCTGTGGAGAGGAGAAAGAGGGATGGTGGAAATTCCTGCAAGCACTTTTTTGGAGTAGATTTTTTTTGGAATTACATGATGTTTGAAAAAGTGGGAAAAGAAAAAAGGATTAGTGAAATGGCAGTGGGGGCTAGCAGTAAGTACTCGAAACTTCCTCATGTCTCTACTACGCATCGAACAAAATAGAAACAAACAAAGTGCAAATGAATCTGACATAGTCGTTAAATGAAATTTATTCACATAATGAAATTATTTAGGAATATGCGCAGTTTATCACAGCCCTCGTCCCCTAACCGTGCTCCTTTTTATCGCCTTATATCCCCCCTTTCCCTTGAGGCTTCTTATGCTCAGTTGTTGACACAGGATTCATATACCCAGAAGAAAAAGAAATGGAAAAAAGTTATACATGATGGGAGGGGGAGGGAAGCGAAGTTGCGAGATTTTCAAAAATGTTAAGAATGAGAAATTTAAATTAGCAAATAACTTGTTTGTTTTTGCTGGTAATTAAGATCTTTTCAAAATCCGCGTATAAAAATTCTAAAGTCTCTTGAATAAGAAATTTCAGGAAATGCATGCCGTTTACTAATCGCAGCAAGTTTTGTACGGGTTCAGGTCAAAAAACTTTAAGAAACTTTTAGTATTTTGGAAGGCGTGATCAACAATACCATCGTTCTAATGCAGAAGAAACTTCATTTCTGCCAAGAAATGTTTGCTACTACATTCACAACAATTTGTCGAAAATACACCTCAGAGTATGAACTTACCATCAAAGGATTTCCGTCAATTTTGATTTGCGAAAGGCCTGACAATAGCGCGATTACCTCGGGTGGTAAAGAAGATCTATGATGTAGCATGTTGTTAGCGACGTTCAAACTAAAATTTCATTCATTTACTTCCGATATTTAGAATTATCGAGGCATCACTTACTGGGTTAATCCACAATTTTGGGTAACTGCTATTGGTACCGAAGTGATATTTGTGCCCTCCAAATCGAGAGTTTTCAACGATTTCAGCGGGAGAAAAGCAAATGGGTCGATAGAATCCAGAGGTGTGTGGGATAGCGTTAGCGACTTTACTGCTCCAAGTCCAGCAAAATGTTCGGGGTTTAGTTTCTGAAGAAGTTATTTATATACATTGAGAACAAAAGGCAGTGTTTTCGCAAACGTGAGTATCTGACAATAAGTTTCTTAGTTGAGTTGAGAAATTGCCCAGACGGCACCTCACATGATTAATTTGTCGCCTACAGTTTCAAACTCCCGCCCGGTATTGTACTATGCGTGCGGATCAATCAGCGTACGGTAATGGGTGAGACTACAGCGCTAAGTTTTTCGCTCACGAATAAATATTATGAATTGCTGTTTTGGTAGCCAGTTCTGCATACCACTGCTAAATTGAATGCTGCTGCTAAACTTACCGTGATCTTTGTCCCGCTGAGTTTTAACCATTTGATTTTTGTATTTCGATGAAAAGGCTTGTATGGCAGGTGTTTGAATGGATTATGGCTGAGGTCCAAGACTCTGAGTTCTGTACAGAGCGCAAAAGTGTGAGCTGCTAGGCTACTTATCTAAACCACACTTTTACAAAATTTTTACAAATAAGCATTATTTACACCTTATTATGGCTCAGATCGATGTCGTAGATGTCTTTGCTCAAGAGAACATGCTTGGAAAGATCTGCTATAGAGTTCCTGGCTAGTTTTGCCGATCGTAGTCCTCGTAGCTGAGAGATTGTAGAAAATGAATGTAGATAGGTGTCTAAAGAGAATTTTTTGAAGCTGTGAATATCATTAGGTCGATTATCAGCTTACTTCTGATAGTAAGGGTGGTGAGTTTGTCACTCATAGCAAGCCAAAAGGGCAATTCCTTCAGTGAAGAATTCTCGATGTGGATGTGAGCGATAGTTCGAACCCAAGGTGAAGCCTAAATCTTGTTCATCAGAGTCTCCTCAGACTTGATTTTTTTTCCTTCAACATCGAGTGTTCAAGCTGAAGAAAGTGTAGGATTAAGGATAAATACAGTTGCACTTTTTTCTATTTTGAAAAATTTTGGAAGCTCCCTGAAAAAATTGCCTCTTGCCTTGGTTATGACAGAGTTCACAGTGGCATGATACTTGCTGCGATTGCACACTAATCATCAAATTTACGACAGTTTTGTTAAATACACTATTTCCTTTCTTTTTGATCTCTTTGCGTTTTTTCTATGTATCTAATACAATGTGATTTTGCACTGTCTCTCTATGGCCTCGGGCAGAGTTCACACGATTTCATCGTCGCTATTTGATCGCTTTAAGACAAGTGTTACGAGCTCATTGCATGCCGATCTTCTTGTAATTCGGTTATGATAGTTAATCGCGATAAGTCATGTTGGAAAACTGTCACAACCGAAATGCGAGAAGATCGGCATGCAATGATATTGTTACAGTTATCTTGTCGCGATAAATCGCAACGATCAAATCGCGTGAACTCTGCCCGAGGCCTATACCGGTTGTCTGATGCCTCTAGCGTGTCAAAAGTTAAGTGAAAAAATACCAAAAGTTCAAAAATTTTGTTTTTTGTGCATTTCGTTTAAAATTGATGCGAGAAGCTTGGAAAGAACCTTTAAAATATATCAAGGAACGTTTCATAACAGAAATTATCGCGAACCTTATCTTAGGTTGTTCAGAACAATTTTGGTCATTTTCGACAGTTTATCAGAATGCTGTTGCTTGAACTATCATAGAGAATCCTTGTTTATTGTCAGATATTTTTTTTATTTTCAGATAGGAGAAGAAAGGAATGTAACCACGACTTATTCTCAATTGAAACATTTGTGTTGATAAATTCCGGCAAAATATTTTGCTTGAAAGTGACTTGCCGTTCGTGCAAATACCACGTCGATGTTGACCAGACGAAGATTTTCAAGCACTTTTAGATGGCGAAATGTATCGAAGACATCAATCGGATGACGTGTTCTAAAAAAGAGTTTTAAATTTTCTATGAATGCGAGAAAATCTCACCCTGTACTAATCTCCAGAGATTTGAGATGAGGAGTATATTTGGCGAGGTCAACAAGCGGCGTAGTTTGGTCGATTTCATAAATTCGAAGCTCCGTAACATTCACTTCTACAAGTCCCATAATTAGGGCAGGGGTCAGTCTAAATAACTGATATTTAGTATATCCTGGTAGATGCAAAATTCTGTTTACGTTTCGTTCCAGTTCTGTATGATGATGATATAAGAGTGGTCTTTGTTGGGAAGATTCAACTTTGTGCAAGTAAGGCGCTCATGATGTTGGTGATGATCACGCCAGGTAAAATTCGGCAGGTTCTAAAAAAATTTATCAGATTTGAGACGTCTAAATTTCTCGTCTCTAACCTCAGGTTCGTCAAGGTCGCAGTCAAGTTCGGGACCAATTGTTAAATGACATTCACAATGGTCTGTATTACATAGAGATGAATATTCACAGGTATCTATGACAGGATATTGTAGGCTACAGCATACCTAAAAGAGGATACAGTATGCCAACAGTTGTTACCGTATGCCAGAAATTGTTAAGGCAGTGTTCAGGCAATTATGGGTAGCTTGGGAGCTTCTGAACCGAGCACATCTTAAGCGGCATCTCTTATGATTTATCCTCAATTGATAAACTAATTTCCAAGCTCCCGCCCAAACCATGCTATCTACCGTAACCGCTTGGAAATACGGTCTGGACGAGAGTTGGATGTCTTATTTTTGAGTACTTCAGCTTAGCACTGCCTATATGAACACGTAATCAAGCTTTATCGTACCAAATTCATTCCACCAACTCGTGCGTGCATACTGTCGCAGCCGTTTTTGCATAGTAAAACAGTGAATTTTGTGAATAAAACGACGATGGCAAGTAAATTTCGACTCGTAGTGGTGGGCATACGAATTGCTGAGCAACAATGAGCATTTGATGGTGCGCGAAAAAATTAATTAGGAATGCTGGGAGTTGTCAGCGGCCAATCAGCCCGCTATTCATCCGCGCCATACGACGCCAGTCATTTTCGGACACATCGCCGCTTGACCGGAAAAAGAGCTGCCTGCGAATTGCGACGAACGCGAGACTGCTCAAGCACTCGGGTTTTAAAGGTTATTGGGTAGAAAACACGATTTTGTAAATTCTATTCGCGCTCTAGAGTGAGTCCTTGAAACAAAACCTGCATCACAAGTTTGGGTGTGAAAGAGGGGCGTGGGCAGTTGACAGTTGGCTCAGAAGTTAGGAATCCTCTTAGTATGTTCTGTGATTGTAAATCCAAAGTAATTTTCTCAGATAGTTCTTTGGAACTTCTGCAGGACAAAAGTTTGCAGCGGTTCCCAGGATTTTGTTTACTAATCGGAAACTTCCGCAGGACTTGACAAAACGCTGCTGAACTTCCGAAGAGTGTCAGCGATTCCGCAGCACTTTTTGACATGCCAGTACTTCCGCAGGTTTTTGAGTGTGTTGTCTCTTACGATGTTGCCTCGCCAACAACTAAATGAACATCCGTCATCTGTTCATGTCATCCGTGGTGCAGAGGATAGTTTGAGTTCGCAATCAATAGAGGAAAGTTCAAATCTTGCTTAGGTGCTCTCTTTTGCTGTTGCAGTTCGCATTCTTCGGACTTCCGCAGCATCTTATCTGGGAATTTCCACAGCACGTTTCCAGAACATCCGCAAGTGGCCCGCGGAACTTCCCCAAACGTTCTGCGGAAGTTCCGGTCGGTTTCTGAATTGGTGAGGAAAGCATTATCTTTAAGTAGCAATCAATATCTGCTTGTGAATTTTTTGTGAAGAAAGTACACTGATCAGGGGTGCTATGTATCAATCTCAGGATCGTGTGCTGGTTCAAGATCTGGCAATTACACGATCTTGAACCAGCACACGATCTGCCGAGGCGCACGCGATGTATAGGCGCCGTAAAACCTAATTGCCCGCGCCGTGCCTTGAACACCAGCGTAAGCGAGCGGTCGTCGCGAACGATTGTCAGCGTTCACTATATTCCAAAAAATCTTTCTTTAGTTTTCATGTTGCTCTCGTCAATGCAGGGTATATCTCGACGAAAGCTCCCTTCAAAAGCTTAAAAAAATATGTGTGGAAAGGGCGCGCGCTCATTGTCGCTCGAAAAAAGCCTGTAGCGCTTCGGGACCAAACGTCTTCAGCCGCGCCGCGCGTTGGTGTTCAAAGCGACGCGTGGGCAATTGGGTTTTACGGGACCTGTATGAATGAGTGCGCAAGATCGTGTAATTACACGATGTGAGGTGTCCGTGTGCGCCAGGGAACCCGAACTGGCGCATAGCGAGTGACCGTGTTGGCGCCAACGCGAAGTGACGCCGTAGACTCATTTCTCGCAGTATTTTGAGTGTAATGCCTCAGTTCGCGTTGAATTTCTTCATTTTTTCTTGTGCCGCCCGTATTTCTAGTTCTCTAGCGTTTTTCTATCAATTTGTAAAGTTCTAGCTGAAAATTTTGCATGATTACATTGGTGCCAATTCCATGTTTCTTACTCCTTTTATGCATTATCAATTAGCATACGTTTTTCTCACATTTGCCCTACGCAGCAGCCTTCGTCTTTTGAAATTTTGCAATTAGAAGTGTATTTAGACTTAAACGGTAGTACGAAAAATGCAAGAAAATAAAAGAATATGCGGATGCAGAAAGTAGTAGCCGCTGATGATGTCCATGAGAAGACCTTTCTCTTCACTATTATGATTTCGTTATGTATTCGTTTTAATATGCACATAAAAACCGTCAAAATTGAACTAGATATATGTTTGTCATGAGTGGTGCAATTTTCCATGACATCATCATACTCTTCCATGAATCGACCTTACTTCGTAAATTCCTCTCATTATTTGCCTATCCATGGGCAGTGTTGTCGCGTTCGCCCCTTGTCGTCTTCATAGCCCCGTGTTCTGTTCTATGCTATCGATTTATTGATTGTCTTTGCATTGCAGACTTCGAAGCTAAGCGAATAGCTGTGAATCGTCCCAGTTTTGCGATCAAACAACAAACGAGCAGTCAAGTGCTTACGCTTATGCTTACGTCGTTCGTTTTCTATCCCGCAATTGACCGTATTGCACGCTCCGAGGGAGAGAGCGTGTATGGACGACGAGTTTAACTGTCCCCACGGTGATACCGAAGATTCAGCGTGAAGAATCTAACGAGCCTTCTACGACCCTTAGCAGGCATCTTGAGTTCCTTGTTCCTTTTTTTGTAAGTTTTGGTCTCTGGGGCCCTTTCTCCCGCTGAGTTTTCCGCCAATTGCGTAAACAGATAATGCCGAGAGGGTGGATGAGGAAAGCACAGTAGTACGCGTGGTCACGCTATGGTCGATTCTGTTTTCCTATAAATTCAGTTTATCAGGTTTTTTTGCAGTTTGGAGAGGTTTTATCGTTCTAAAACTCATTGGCAATGACTTCCTCTTGGCCAGAAAAAGCTCAGTTGATCCAGTAGAGCCGTTCGATATAAACTCGACATAGAGTATTACGGTGAAGACAACGTTTGCGCGAAAAGAAATGCCAGGTTTGTGAATGCTCACAACTTGGTTGCAGCTGTCGCGTGAAAACTGGCCGTAGAGTGCACATCTTATTGTTGACGCTCAAATGTTGTCGTCACCGCAAAAACGCTAAATCAAGTTCGCTATGTACTTCATGTTTCTCAGGCGAAGTTGCAAACATATCATCGGTTTCACGATTCGTGTAGAGGCGGGGTTTTGCCAACTCAAAGCGTGGCGGTTTTTGATAGCGAGAGAGTACAAAAAACAACGCTAGGATGTATTTAACAAGTTTACCTGTGTGATCAGGCAAAGTCTGCAATACACCTCTACACGAATCGTGGAGACGATCATACCTGAATAATTTGCATTTTTCTTATTAGTATGAACCCCCATTCAAGCACGCATTATCTGCTTTCCAAAGGACCTAATTCGAGTTCAGTCTCAATTCCTGCCCAATGAGCACATGTGGCTCTTAGGAGAGAGTTGAGGTAGGTGCCAGATGCAAGCAGATGCAAGCAGCAGTCCTACCTCAAGTCGGGTCTAGGTCTGCTAGAGGCGTTCCTCAGAATAATAGCGCGCAGCAGTATAAACTCTTCCTAGTCGAATTTATCGCTCCGATGTCATAACTTGGTTTATTCGAGGTTTTGCCGAATCAGTTTCATGAATCCACGTAATTCCTCAGAATTCTTGAGACCGCTTCTGCATGAACATATATTTATTACATAGTAAATACTATATCTGATATCTATAACTTTGTAGAACTTTAAAACATTTAGCAAGAAAATGTTAGTGAAAAACTTCAGCAAGACAAAAATGAGATAGAATCACAACAATATATGTAAACAAATTATGTAAAAGCACTAATGCACAGTTTGTTCGCCTGACTATAGGCATGCTAGCGTCTGCTTGCTTATGCACAGAGGTTTCTACAAGAAAAACCGATAGGAAAAAATATAGCTTTGGCTGTAGAATAAAAAGGCACAATAAACACAGGATAAACAAGTATAATTCAACAAGTCCATTTAGCTGTGCCAATTTTTGACTATTTTTGCACCACGCCGACTCACGTCGATAGCGATTTCGGGCTCAACGTCGACACTGGCTCCTTTGTTGACTTTCCCGTTCAGTGACGCCGTCACCGACGGTCGCACGTCCATCTACGCAGCCGCATCGTGCCATTCGTGTTCTTCGCGGCATCCGCAGCTTTGCTGCACGACCACTCGTGAGTACCGCGTGCAGTGTACGCCCGGAGAGAGCCTGAAAACCGAAAAAAACTCAGGCTAAGGGAAGAGACAAAAGGGAGTATAATAAAAACCTTGTTTGACTCTTTTCACTGAATTTGACAAACAATTTTCAGAAAGAACACTTATAAGTAGGGGAAAAGCAACAGAATTCATAAGCAAAGAAGGAAAAAAGAGAAAAATAACTCTCACCGTGACTGGCGGATTCGCCGATGTTGGTGAGCTTGCCGGCTAATTGCTACCCATTATTCCACTCATTCCCTTTGTAGAGTTGATGTCTTTGGCGCCGTATCTCCAGCAGACGGAACTGACGTCATTGTCAGAAAGTACCTTAAAACTTGGGGTTGTATCTTGATGAGTTAGCAATAGCACTATTGCATTCTCAAAAAAAAAAAAAACATATTCTGATCAGTAACACATGGTTGGAACAATAGAGAACGCGAAAATAATCCAATAATGTAAATTAAAGACCAAACCTCTTCAGCAGTTGGTGCTAGTCCTTCTGGCACTTTCGTCGGTGTACTACCGTACTTATTTAGCGTTCTATCCATGAAGTCAAGAACTTTATCGATCAGATGAAACACTGTGTGACTCGTTCATCTCATCATTCGACCCCTTAAATTGACTTTGTTGATGAAAGCAAACATAATTTAGCCACTACACTGTACCTCGTCATCTCCGAAAACATTGGCTTCTTCTGTTGTGTGTGGCTGCTCAAGCTGCATAGGTGATGGGTTGGCGTCTTTGGAGGCTGGATCCGCATCTTCTGCATCTCCAATTTGGGGTCCATATTGGCGATATCTTGATAGCAAGAGATTTGCGAGGACAGTGGAGTAGCTTCGTCGATGATTTGGCCTAGAAAACACATATTTACTGTCAAATCGTCTGATTACGTGAATGAATGAAGTGATGATTGAGTGAGAATGAGTGATTGGAAGAATGATCTACAAGTTTAGCAAAATCAGTGATGTAGGTGAAATTGTCGATACCCTTATTACTGCTTATGACGACTTTATAGAAAATGGAAGAATGACTTACATTTGGCCTCCAAGCAACTTGATATTGATGGTGACGACTATCGATCCAAAAACTGTTATTGCAAATGCTTGAGTGAACTGTGAAGTTGATGGATCAGGATAATTGTGCTGGAGTAAGCTGAATAACAGGCGTCAGAAGAATGTCGATATAGCGCAAGAAAAGCTCTCAGTGGTTGCTTGAAAACTGTGTCGTAGTTTGCTAATGCATTTTTATTTATTTTGGGTAATAGCATAGTCTTTGAAACGCTGTAAGTGAATCGAGTGGGTCAGCATGCACTTTTGTCGAAGAGGTAACAGCAGTGACCTGCAAAAAGAAAATGGAATGCATTCTGTGTGCTAAATTACAACTCAGTAGTTTGACAGTGACGAAAGCTGAGCTATACATAATACACCAACCAGCGTTAAGCGTCAGCGTGCTGGCGCTTTAACGCTAGCGCGGAACGAGTGAAGGATGAAAGAAATGTGCAGAGGTTAAAGAAACTTGAGTGCTTTTGGGTTTTACTTTACGCTTTTACGAAGTCTGGCCAATGCCTAAGGCTCCGGACAGACTTCACACGATTTGATCGTCGCGACTTCCATTCATTTCCATTTTACATTCAAAAATTTCGGGCTGGAAAAGTATCACGACCGAATGCAAGTTGATTGGCATGGAATGATGTTGTAACAGTTGTCTCGTCGCGATTCACTCGCGACGATCAAATCGCGTGATGTCTGCCCGAGGCCTAACAGTTACCAAGGGACAAAATAGTTTAACGTTAAGGGCCGAGCATACCGTCTGCGCCCCAGAGAGGTTCCCGTGTGAACCAGCGTGCGTACGTGGTGCGACGCTGCCTTTCGCTCTTTCTGACACGTTTCTCCTGAGATTTCAACAGAAGTGCCCGAGGTTAGTTCAAAAATGCGAAAGGCAGCGAGATGACGTGGTACCTATGGGAACGTCTCTGGTGCGCAGACGATACTTCACGCGATTTCAGTCGCGACGCGATTTGGCAACATTCCAGTTGTCCATAACTCACTATAAGCACACTTCAAATGTGCAGAAGATAGGGCATTTTATCAATCCGTGTAAGTTATACACACTATGCATGCGCAGTTTGCTAGTATCGGATTTGAAGACTTCTGGCGAATTGCCAAATCGCGTCGCGATCGAAATCGCGTGAAGTATGCCCGGCCCTTTAGATCTCAATCGCGATAATCGGTTGAAGGCAAAGTATCGACAAACATAAACAATAGCCCAATACAAGACTATGTTGAAGGCAGCTGATCAAGTATTTGAAACATATAAAAGAAAAACATATTAACATGAAGATTCTAACGCCAGAAAGGTGGACCGAAAGAAAAACAAACAAAAATAATAAACTCACAACATCAAAACGACGCATGTGAATAACGGGTAACAAAAATCCCAGTTTCTCACAACTTGCTGTTTATCTGGCGTTCATTGATTGATGAACGTCGATCAACTAAAACGAAGAATTAAAAAATTGTATTGAGACAGAAGCGAAAGACAACTGACTAGAGCGACTGTGCTATGAAAAGTGAAGGTGATGAAAAACTGAGAACTCAACGGCCACGTTTCCTACTCGTTCTTTCTAGTTAACAACTGAATTAAACACGTCGTAATCGATTGTTTTTCACTAGAAAGAACGAGTAAGAAACGTGGCCGTTGAGTTCTCAACTAATTCACGAAGCATACACACACTAAAAATGATGTGGGAGACGCCGAGTCACGCACACGTCCGAACCTGTGCACAATTGGCGTGCGGAAAACATTGGACGTGGCGACACCATGGACTTTCACACGTCTACATGGGGAGCACACGATCTGTCGCCGAGCAGCGCACGATCTCGACAGATGGTGCGCTGCTACACGATCTTGTGGCAAGATCGTGTGCTTCATACATCGCGGAATCGTGTGCTCGCACCTGATCTTGGGCACGTTCTCAACGGTAGCGAGCACACGATCTCACGATCGTGTGATTGATACATAGCGCCCCTGATGACATAAGAATGTACTTATAGGAAACTACAATGGCAGAGAACAGACGGACTGTCGTACCCGTGTGTCTTTTTTGTCATCTTCGAATGTCAAGTGGTTCTCCATACCAGCAACATTGTTGGAGTTTGAGTGATTGAGTTGCAGATTAAATCTGAAGTGTTTGCTAGTCTCAATTTAGATCTTTTGAGAGAATTTAGGTACTGTAAGCACCAACTTATTTTGTTCAGTGATATACAATACCGCTCACAGAATGTGCAAAATTTCCGTGAATGTCGCAGATTTCCAGGAATTCCGCGAAGGTTCGCGAAATTTCGGGAATTTCGCGATATTCCTGGAATTCTGCGACATTCACGGAAATTTTGCACATTCTGTGAGCGGTATTGTATTTGAACTGGATATCGGACTGCCAGAATATTACTGAATTTTTTGAAGCTCTCAAATACGCTGAGACCGTCATAAATATTCACACAATACCTTTTATAGACTTCTTCAATAAAATGATGTCCTATAAATAGAGACTGCTAGTCTAAGCTGAAAAGATATTCATTGAGAGCAGCATAGTCTATTTTCACAAAATTAGGAGTGGGGCAATCTGTCTCTTTGAAGTAGTTTGCCAACGGAAAATCCAACTATGCTGTGATCGGCCGAAAGGGTGGGGGGGGGGGGAGGCTCGTTGCACATAGAATGATATTCAAAATATTAGCACCATGAGTGGGGCTGTGAAGATATTGTTCATATCCACGCATTGAAAAATTCATTAACACTCTGAAGCTTTGATCTAATGCTTTTGCATTGTTCCACTCAACATGTAAATTGAAATTTCTGAGAATAACAGTAGTTCCGCACTGCTAGGAAGTTAAATCAACTTTTATGAATGAGCAGCTCGTCATCACGCTGAATGGTAGAAAGTGGACGGTAAACGATGCACGCGATAAGATTCAAATCCAGGCGGAAGTTGATAGAGATAAGATATCCATCATAGAAACAGTAAAATGCTCAACATTTTTGATGGCGATATCTCCCCTTATAAGGCAGCACACACCGCCTCCCACTCTATTGTTTCTATCAGTACGATATTTTTTATATTATATTTTATTTTTATCTTATATATAAAGCTGAATGTCTGTTTGTCTGTATGTCTGTCTGTCTGTATGTATGTGTGTACGTATGTTCCGAATAGAAAATTCCATTTCTGAACCGATCCGGACCAAACTTGGCACACATACACTACGGGCCCCGGCGGGTGTCATAGGCTACTTTTCGTCATCGATCGATATCGATTTTATCGATTTTTATCGATTTTTTGCAAAGTTTGAGCTACGGGGCTGGGAGTTCGCACAGGGGGGTAATCGAGCATGGGGATTCCGAATACAATATTGGTTTTTGGGATTATCGATTACTTTTATCGATTTTATCGATTTTTTTGCAAAGTTTGAGCTAGGGGGCTGGGAGTTGGCACAGGGGGGTAATCGAGCATGCTGATCATCCCAAGGGGGGTGATCAGCATGCTCGATTACCCCCTGTGCAAACTCCCAGCCCCGCAGGTCAAACTTTACAAAAAAATCGATAAAATCGATAAAAGTAATGGACGCTCCTGAAAACTAATATTGTGTTCGTAATCAGCATGCTCGATTACCCCCCTGTGCAAAATCCCAGCCTCGCATGTCAAAATTTACAAAAAATCGAGAACATCAACAAAAGTAACCGATAATTCTGAAAACTAATATTGTATTCGGAATCCCCATGCTCACTTCCCCCCTGTGCCAACTCCTAGCCCTGTAGGTGAACTCTGCGAAAAAATCGATAAAAATCGGTAAAATCGACATCGATCGATAACGAAAAGTGGACTGTGACACCCGCCGGAGCCCGAAGTGTATGTGTGCCAAGTTTGGTCCGGATACGGCGGAGCCGGGTAAGCCAGCTAGTACCCTACAAAACAATCTCCATTACATATGGAAACGCCACTTCGATCAACTATCCGTCCCTTGTTAGTACCCGCTCCAAGAAAAGAAATTCCCAGTCGATAAGCATTTTCTAAGTGAATGCGATGATTCCTATAAAATCATTAAACGTTGCACAGAATCACTGACATTACAATCGCTATTGCATATTCAGCAAAAATTGGGCGAATCAGGAGCATTTCTTTGAGACGGCAGTTCCCAAGACATAGTTCGCGTGCTGATTTGCACGTTGCATGTAAATGAAAATCATCTTGCAAGCAAGAAAAGTTGTGAATATCCTGACAGCATTTTGAGAATCGAGACTGCGAATGCTTAACTGTCCTCATCCTGCATAAACAGCATCTGGTCGAATTCAAGAAAAATTTATCAAGCGAAATGTATGAGACATCCACAAATTCTGACAACGGATTCGATCATAGATGCGATGGGTGGAGAATTTTCTCTGACACCTTCGCTTTAGGGCCCGCATCTGGCTGAACCCTTTTACCCGAGGTTGGGACCAGAATCAAGACGGCAGAAACAGCTGTTACAACGTTTTTGATTGGAAAGAAAACCAAAAAACCAAAAAAATGCTCTTCTCCTCAGACATCAAGACTGCAAAAAAGTATCGAGGCACTCAAGCATTCCTTGAGTCGTTTCCTAGCGTGCTTGTGCGGAATCAGATCCTCTTTGCACAGTTTAGTTTTGGAATTTGTCGCTTCTTCTGCTATCCAAGTTCTGTCAGCTACTGCCAGCTGCGAAGTTGACAGAAGTTTGCATTATGATCAGCAGGCAGCGCATCTCAGTCGGACTTCTCTGCTCAAGTGCTATCATCACAAGAAGCAAAAGGTGAGCAGTTTCCAGTCCAAAACTTTATCTTCATCATAAGTTTAGCAATTCAGCTGAATCGCCTGGCAATTGGTTTCCCTTCGGGACGTCAACGTGATGATACCTACGGACAGAAGCGAACTCAAGCTCAACGCAATGTCCAAAAAAGTTTTGGTTTAGAATTTGCAGTAGATTGTTTGCAGTCAATTTGAGAAAAATGTCTCGTCTCTTCATTCTTCTATCTTCTATCCACAAACGCTGGGGTGAGAGGGAGGGGGTAGAGAACGGGAAACGGGGAGGAGAATCGTGCTGAATTCCGACTCGGGGGAGGGGCGTATCCGGCGGTCGTATGCCACATCGTTTGCTCGACCCTAGTCTAGAGCTTTGGGTGAGGTTTAGGGGCATAATTGAGGTTTGCAGCTTGATTAGGGCTAATTACAGTATGCCGCGGGGGACATCCAGAGCATGGGAGGGCTCCGGAGCACAAAATGGGAGGTCTCCGGAGCACAAATGGGAGGTCTCCGGAGCACAAATGGGAGGTCTCCGGAGCACAAAATGGGAGGACTCCGGAGCATGAGTGGCAAACCCTCGCTGGGCAAACCCCGCGGCTCTGCCATTTCTGCTCCGGAGGTATGCTGTCGACAGTCTGAGCATGTGAAGAAATTTGGCTTGAAAAGGGGATTTAGAAGTTATTTGAAAAAAAAGCAAAATAAAACTCAAGCTTGGGTTTCTTTGGAAGTAACCATTACCCGGTTATTGTCTTCAATGTGCTCTACAATAGTATGCTTACCTGTCAGAAAACTTCAGTTTTTGTCCCAAGAAAAGACCTGAAAGAAATTTTTCGCGTTCGAAGAATTATTGTCCGCGACATTGGACGCGGCCATTCTCGGACTTATTTTAGAAGAAGATTTTTATTTCCATAACGCATGTTTTCTGGAAATATGTGCGTGTGGTAGCTCTTGATGAGCTCTATCACCACATGCAATTCAACCATTTTTCCAACCATTTTTTCATCTTTGTTTTCCATCTGAAAATGAGCGCTGAAAACAGAAGGGCGACTTGTCCGCAACTTTTTGGCGGTCACTGTATGTAATAGTTCGAAAAAACCTTCTTGATTTGAAAAGATAATTACCCAGAATTGATTGATACTGTAACTAGATGAAACTGCTCGCATCTTGCTTCACAGAGAAGCTAGGAAAAAAGAGACTATCTACGTCGATTCCTCGTGTTCTTAGCTATCGAATGGTGTATAAACTGTCGGTACACAAAGCTTTCCCAGTTCAAAAAAGTTATGCTCCGGCGACCCATAGAAAGCCGAAGCGGGGTGGAGCAAGTTAGTATTGAATATTTCCACCTCATTTTTAAAGAGCCACAAGTTTTCTCACCCAACATCCTATATACCATTAGCAAGCACACGAAAAAGGGATTCGACGTAGATCCTCTCTTCTTCTCTAGCTCCCCTCTACTCAAAGATACATGTTTAGCTAAAAACATGTGTGTTTTGGTGAAGAAATTTTTATGCAAAGAGTGATTAGAAGTGCCCAGTTGTCTAACACTGTCACAGAGCAAGACTTCTGGTTAACGTAAACGGTCTCTTTTTTAGCTTTGCTCTTTCTTTCATGGAGCTCAAAGTGATTGCATAAAATCGGCTTATGCTGGAGCTAGATATGATTTCTTATATCTAAGTTCACAGAAGAGCTGAAAAGGAATGTCCCAAGCTTTCGAATGGTATGTCAACTGATAAAACATAAAGCTTTCCTGAGTCAAAAGAAGTCTCTGTTGGATGACCTTCCAAAGCCTAAGCATTTAGGAAATCTTTATATTATACCTGTGTACCACTCATTTTCCTTCTTTTCATTCCCGCTCCCGTTAGACATGTAAATTGCGTCAGCATTCATCTTAGGCCCAGTTACCCCCTTCACTTTTCTAGGTCAGAAATAACCAAAACCCACTTCATCTGGAGGGGACCCTCCTCCCCTATCGCACCTATGGGTTCGATTGCGATCTTTACGCGCACCGAAACCTTACAAGGGCATATCACACTAACAAAAAAGCACTTTAGTACTTACAAAAGAAGCCTTTT